CGCAATAAACATTTTCCCACGAACACCATTCTGTAAGAGTAAAGACAATAGTTTAGACCGATTAATCGAGTCAAATGCTCTGGAAAAATCGACAAACGGTGTATAGAAGCGTCCCTGGGTCTGGACAGATATTTCTGTGCGAGACCAAACAATGTGAAAATATGATCCACAGTTGAATGGTCTTTTCTGTAGCCAGCTTGGGCCTCTTTGTATTTGTTTTCCGATTCACACCATTTTTGAAGCCTGAAATTGAGAACAACATTATACAATTTACCAGTACAATCAAGCAATGAGATTCCTCTATAATTGTTTGTATCGTTTTTTGAACATTCTTTATATAGTGGTGCGATCAGTGCCTTAGACCACGAGTCAGGAAAATGCCCCTCATCAAAGACCTTGTTAAATAAAAAGCTAATAGCTGGAATGAGAATATCAATGCCAGCTTTGTAAAAATCAATACCGATTCCATCCGGATCGGGCGAAGTTCCTGACTTCATGTTCTTGACACATTGCCTGACTTCTGACTCAGAAATTTGTTTTATAAGAATACAGTTGTCTTCTTCGAAATTTTTCTGGAGTTCAGAATTTGAAATAAAGATAAAATATGATTTACACTCTTGTGACCCGAAACATGGATTCAAAACTGCTTTGAAATGTTCAACCCAATTTCCTGGGATAATTACGTCCGAGATCTGTGACTTGGGCAGGAAAATCTTAACAGTTTTCCAGAATTCATCTGGGTCAGGTAGATTTCTTTGAAGCGTGTTACAAAGCAGGGGCGGATCCAGGAATTTTTGCAGGAGAGGGTTTGCCAGGTTCCTGAGAAAATGTATCACCGCCCCCCTCCCCCCCTCGGCTTGAAATTTTTTGAGAAATACATGGTCTCTATCGTCATTTTGGCGTATATACATACACATTGATCTTTTTAAACAGAGGAATCCAACATCCTGTTTGACGTCAATTTTTATTATGAATTAATACGATGACATTGTGATTCAATTTTATTGATGCAAAGCATTAACTGTGATATCACATATGTCTATATCATTATCTCGCGCTTTGAGTGCCTACCCTGTCGCACCATCTGAGGATAAAGGATAAAGCACAGTTATGGCACTTTTCTCATAAAAAAGGTTGTTTTACAAAAAATTTTATGTAGCAGGACCCGCGCCTGCAAAGTGTGTGTTCATACTCTATTTTCTTACTTCTACAAAGATGTTTGAACTCATTTTTACATGTATTGTAAGCACTAAAGTGTAAATTACAGTTGCATTTTCTGAATTTATTTAATACATCAAACTTGTGTTTCGTACTAGATTCACAGCTTCATCAAACCAAGGTGGTTGTTTGTGATTTGATGTACTTTTAATTACAGGTCCAGGCCTGATGATCATGTATGAACCACAAAAATTGATGAAATCTGTAAAACAAGATAGAACATGATTAATACTTCCAGACAGTGTGTCTGTAAATTCTCTAAATAATTTATCAAATCCAATTGAAACCTTAGCAGCGAATTCATCTCTGAACGCTTCCTGTCATTTTAATTTTGAATAAGAACCTAAAGTAATGTCATGCGAAACATTCGGATTCTCAACTTTACATGTAACAACATCAAATTCTACGGGGTTATGATCTGATTCAGTTCTGGGTCTGATTATGAAATGACAGAAAAGAGAGAACAAATATGATGAGGCTATGACTAGATCCACAACGGATGCTCCCTTAGATTTCAGACATGTGAACTCACCCTTCTTATCATCATAACGATATGAATGTAAATATAGAACATGGTGTCAATAGTCTTCGCCCAAAATTATTAGTTTCACTGTCTTTAGATTTTCTGGCTAAATTGAACGTATCTGTTTCGTAGTCAGCTTGTTCTAGTCCAGGTAGAAATTTAATGGAATCCTCACAAAAAAGTGTCTTTTAAGCCCCACCCTGACATTAAGGTTCCCAGCTAAATTAAGTGGAGATTCTGGCCATTCATATTTTAGTTCTTCAATACATTCTTCAAGTTTGTCGAATATGCACTCCTCATTGTGCAATCTTGAGCTCTCTGGAATCACATAAGAAAATAGCAAAATAATATTATTATCCCATCCAAACGTATGATGATCAAATCTTAAGTCAACAAGTTCATTGAAATCATCCTTTACACGCTGAACACCTTCAAGGATGTAATGTCTACATAGAACGACAATACCTCCCCCGCTGCTTTCCGTTTCCGCGAATACAGAAACATCCATGGAAGTCCGGGAAAATATGTTAATGTCAACATTACTATCACACCAAATTTCTAATAAACATATGACATCAAAGCCGAGAAGACAAGAAACAAAGTCGGCATCCTGCAATTATTTTTTTAAGACCATTCTTTAAAACATCACGTGTTATTTCACCCAACGATTGTACCATCGCTGTCTCACTCGTTATCTAGATCATCAAGTGTAAACAACTCACCGTCGATCAAACTTCAAACTGGCTTTCTTTCCACTCTCTCTTGCTTGTAATGAGGAATTAATTTCTTTCTAATCTGTCCCACCTTGAAGAAATAATCACAGGATATATAAAATTCTTCACTATGCGTATTTTTGGCAGCTTGTCTACTATTCAAAAAAAGTAGGGGATATTTGATTTTGGGGGCATAATACTAAAATATGCAAATGACTACGAAAAAAGTCACTATAGAACCTAACAGAAGAAACATTTCCAGTTACATGTGACGCCCAAACGCACCAATAGCTACCGCATGGAATGCAGGTGATGCTTGGGATCATCATGGGGGTCCAACCCAAGATTTGCACGACTCTGACTTTGAATGTTACAGTCATTGTGGCATTGAATTCCAGGGTGGAAACATCAGTTTAATTGTTTTAGTGACCAGAAAACAAATTTTGATATGCGTCGGCTTACCCAAAATGAAAGGTTACGTGCCCTTGGCATGCTACAGATCGGCACAACACAGGCGGTTGTGGCGCGGACGATCAATGTTTCTCAGTCTGTCATAAGCAGGCTATGGTCCAGATACCGTGATACACAATCTGTACAGGACAGACCACGCTCAGGTCGACCAAGGGCGACAACTCAAGCCCAGGATCGATTTATCTGTACCTTGGCCTTGAGAAATCGTGTCATCACAGCAAATCAGATCAGCGCTCGTCTTCAAACAGACACTGGTGTGAGAGTGAGTGGCCAGACGATTCGGAATCGACTGCATAGGGGTCACCTTCGCGCCCGACGTCCTCGCGTGATCCCTTGTTTGAGAGATCATCACATTCAGGCAAGACGTCGTTGGTGTAGGGATCGTCAACACTGGGATAATCGACGCTGGAGCAATGTGATGTTTTCAGATGAGTCAAGGTTCACTGTTGATTTTTTGGACAGACGTAGGAGGGTGTGGCGTCGTCGAAACGAGCGCTTCCAAGACGTTAATGTCATCAGGCATGATCGATTTGGGGGTGGTTCTGTTATGGTGTGGGGAGGCATCACTGTTGCTGGAAGAACGGCTTTACATGTTGTTGCAGGGCGTGTTACAGGCCAGTACTACCTGGACAACATCTTGGCAGTCCATGTTGTGCCGTTCGCACGACGTCATGGCCGCCGTTTCATCTTCCAGGATGACAACGCAAGATGTCACAGGGCCAGGATCGTTACAGGTTACCTCCAACAACAGAACATCACCACATTACCTTGGCCAGCACTGAGTCCCGACCTCTCCCCCATCGAGCATGTCTGGGACATGCTTGGACAGAGGTTACGTCAACGTCAACAACGTCATGCCAATGTCCAAGAACTTGCTGCTGCGTTGCAACAGGAATGGGACAATCTGGACCAAAATGACCTTAGACGTCTCATTAGGAGTATGCCACGTCGGATCAATGCTTGTTTGGCAAACAGAGGAGGATTTACCCGTTACTGACTTGGTTGTGATGCTGTGGTAACTTTGCTGTTTGACCCCGGGTATCATTTTACCCTTATAATGGTCAGTCTGTGCCTTACTTAGTCTAACGATCATTTGGAATAAATCGATGAATGTGAACTTCATTTCATTTTGTCATTTGTTTCTTCGTCAGTTTCATTAGGTGACTTTAATAACACTTAAAAATCAAATATCCCCTACTTTTTTTGTATAGTATATAATGCGATTTTTGTCTCTAAATTCCACAGCTTCACAATTATGGTTTTATTTTTATTCACCAGATAGACTTTCTCAATGTCAACTTGTACGCTTATATTCAGTTTCTCATAAATAAATGCTTCCACAACTCTTCATTATCCCTGGCTTTCAGACCATTTATCACCAAATTTTCTGTCGTGCTGGGGGGTGGGGGTGGATGGCCGAATGGTTAGCGCGTGCGCGTTGTACCATAAAGTCTGTCATTGAGTCAACTGGAGTGGTTTCGATTTCCCGGTTGTACGTGACAAGGAGTAGGATCGCCTGTCCAACCTCGTTGGTTTTCTCATCTCAATACCCCCACTGATCAGAATCAGCAACATCGACACAAAAGCTATTACAAACTTTGATTTTGTTTTCATCATGCAAGTACGGTAAAACGACCCATCCGCCATCTTGCATGACCACGTGAACCTTGTGAACCCCGAAACGACGCAAATTGCAATTTGATCTGTATGAAATTGTCTTTGAAATTCCCCCAATTACCTGCAAAAGGAATAAATATGCGACAACCATTATCTACCACTCGGACGATTTAGCTGCTGTGGGTGTATGTTTCGTTGCATGGCAAACTATCTTTAACGGTAACTGGCACTTTACTTTAAGAACCATGAAAAAATTAATTAAATTTAGACATGGAAACATCCAGTTGATTTTGAATAATGAATGTCTTTCGTTCGTTAGTTCCTGGAGTTTTACGTCCACTTCCATTAATTAAGAGTCTATATAAATATCACTAAACTTTATTTTACTTTACTAGACTGTAATGGTCGAGTATTGTTGATTTAATAATTCTATTTCACATGTAATTTTATTATTTTAGGTTACGTCAACCAGTAATGTTTCTATCTACGTTATAGTTACCAGCAAGTGATCTGATTGGTCACATCTGCTAATTCTTCAGCATTTCATTTCCACAAGGCGATAAGACCGCCATGTTGTGCGACAGCACGTGCAGAATCCCTGCACACAGGCATCTGAGACAGCACGTCAGACAGTGGGAACACACGGAAGACCCATCATAGACCTTACCGTGGACCGATCCTCACCCCTCGCCATCGACGTGAACTGGCGACACAGGCAATGGAGAACTGTTCTGTTCACAGATGAGAGTCGGTATTGCGTATCAATTGCAGATGGCAGGACAAGAATATGGCATCGACGTGGCCAGCGATATTCTGACCAATGTTTCATGGAACAAAACTCATGGAGAGGGCCAAGCATAATGGTTTGGGGTGGAATCGGTCTGAAACAGAGAGTGGGGCCTGTGGTGTTCCAAAATCTTGGTCCAGGGAGATGAGGCGTCACCACAGCAGTGCGCTACATCGATCAAGCTCTCAGACCCCACTTCATACCACATTTCGCACGTCATTGAAACAACGTTTTCCAGCATGACAACGCCCGTGCCCACACCGCCAGGGTTATTCGGGACTTTCTACAGCGAATGGTGTCAACGTTATGCACTGGCCAGTTCTTAGTCCGGGCTTAAACCCGATTGAACACAGCCGATGGATTGCGCCAGGCTTTTCTGAAAATGTGTTTCCAGGTGCCAATGGCGTTCATCAATCGTCTGGCCCACTCCATGTACAGACGCTGCGCTGCTGTTATTGACACTTGTGGTGGACACACCAGATACTGATGTATAGACTGTGTACAGACTCTAAACCTTCTCGTAATGTCTTTGAATTGTGATACCACATTGTCATATCACATTTCGCACGTCATTTAAACAGCGTTTTCCAGCATGACAACGCCCGTGCCCACACCGCCAGAGTTACTCGGGACTTTCTACAGCAGAATGGAGTCAACGTTGTGCACTGGCCAGTCCTTAGTCGGGACTTAAACCCGATTGAACACAGCCGATGGATTGCGCCAGGCTTTTCTGAGAATGTGTTTCCAGGTGCCAATGGCGTTCATCAATCGTCTGGCCCACTCCATGTACAGACGCTGCTCTGCTGTTATTGACACTTGTGGTGGACACACCAGATACTGATGTATAGACTGTGTACATCTCTAAACCTTCTCGTAATGTCTTGTGATGAATTAATCACTAATGTGTCAACATACTGTTCACAAAAAATGCTTTGATCCATTTAGTAAGTCGTTTTCTAGAATGATTTGATTAAAGTGCCTCTCTGATATTGAAATCGTATTGACGTTTTTTTTTTGTTTTTTTTTTTTTTGCTGTTTAGTAAAGTATGGAATACAGGGATAAAACGTCTTATTCGAGGTTACAAGGATTCCACACACAGCTCAAGTAAGGACAGAACATGCAACCATGCGGTTACAGATCTAACTTGCTAATCATTGTACGGTACTGTTTCCCACCTTTTACTCTGCGAAAATGAAATTGTTGCTATGCTGTACATGGAACTATATTGCTAAATGCACAGTAATAAAAATGACAATGTGTATATAGTTATAGTGCACGTCTTATCCACAAAACTAACGGAATCCTCAAAGGATAAATGTTAACCCTGGTTACCTCCATTTACCTTCAGAACTCATTAAATCTTAGAAAGAGCCCCAACTTGTGCTGCTCAATGTGTAATTGCATACACCATTCTACAAGTGCCTCTCGTGTTCATCACCCCAATCGGAGCAGAACAGTGGGATGTTAAACCCCATTGCATTTCCTACTAGTGCCAACAAGAAAATTCAAATATAGTTTTCATTAATCTATCAAATGGTTGTCTTATATAGGTCTCGCAGTGTGAAATCTAGAAATAACTGTCTAATCGCAGAGTAAAATCTGTGACCTTGTTTTGTAGATGGTATAATTACGCGATTCGCGTCTATATTTGGTCTGTAGAATATTTCACAACATGACTTAGATACGGAAAAACAAATAATTCTGTTTGGATCTCGGCTTCATAGGTTTAAGAATAAGACTGTGTCAAAATGTACACAGATCTAGTGATATTTTTACACAGTTTTGTCTCAGTCTGTTTCTGTTTTTATTATATTCCCACATTTTCATGTGGACGTCCAGATGTCGGTTCACATTGGTTTGTGGACACTCTACATGACACAAGTTTTATTCAAAACTTATAAAACTCAAAATATATGTTTATATCCCAAAGATCTTAGATGGGTTCTATTTTGGCACCTATCGGACCGTAACTTCCTGGATTACTCCCTCGGATTGTACAAAAATACAAAGCTTATGGACCCTCTGGGATCATAATTTTTATTTGATTTTGATTAACGTTCAAATATCTACATGTATTTATAAAACAAAAATCACAGATGAGTTTGATTTTCATGGAAATTGGACTATACCTTCCTGTTAAAATTGCCCTCGTTTACTCAAATAGTGGCAAAGCATGTAATGCATATACCAAGGTTGTAGACCCCCAGAGGCCACATTTTTTGTCCAATTCAAATGAAACTTAAAATATATTTTAAAGATCAAAAGATTGCATATGACCGCAACTTCTTGGGTTACGGCACCTGCTTTTTATGCATCATGTATAACTAAATTTGTGTAACTCAAATTAGGAAGATGAGAGCATGAAACCTATTGATTCTCATCATTCTCTGTAGGTCCGTCTGCCAGGTAGTTACGAACCCTATCGATAATCCAAAGTTAAACCCCTCTCCCTATTTGCTGAAAACTTTGTGAAGGTCACGAGAGGACCAGCTTAATTGATAATCATCGTTCCCCGACATTTTGTTCCAGAGTTATTTCCCTTAGTCGAAAATGTGACAGGAGCTACAGATTCTTTTTTCAAATTTGGTATGCTTGATAACAATTAGTAAAAACTTGTTCAAACGTCGTGTGCGTATATAATTTATAGATTGTTATCCATAGAAGTGTGTTGTGTTATATTGTGAAGCATTGGGTTCATAAGAGGATGGACCCTATGGATATTCAGCCTTCCTTAACTTTCCGTTACAGATTTACCCCCCTTTAACAAAAACCTTCTCTATGCGATTGAGGCTACAGTTTTTATACGTCCACATTCAAATGTGGTCGTATATTGCCGTGTAGTACTATTTGATAATTTATGCGAAATTGTATTGAAATGTGGTCGTATTGCCGTGTAGTACTATCTGATAATTTATGCGAAATTGTATTAGACGAATATAAGTGCACGAGAGGACATGAGTTATAATTTGATAAATACATATATTTTATTTCTATTCTCCATTGTTAGTATAATAGTTATGGTATGATTTTATTTAAAACGCAAATTAAATCATTTATGAAATATTGTGAGAATAACAGGAAAGGAGTCTAAGTTCAAGTATAGATGTCTATGGTCTAAAAACACGCGATGGGCTTCTTGACCAATCGTCAGACAGCCATGTAGTTTTTGTAGGGAGAAGATGTAGGAATTTCCATCAGCAGACTCGCTGAGTCTGCATGGGAGAGGGTTGGAGAGAATGACTTTATTATAACGCTTGTAACTAAGTAACCTACATGTAGCAGTGCTTAATATAAAATGTTGTATTTGTTGTTCCTATTAGTGATACTAATTAACATGCAGTATATTCAATCACAACGCGAGGCTGTCATTAATGTGGGATGTCAGCGTGGCATGTAATAGTTATATACCTTGTTTTCAAGGTGTTTGGGTTGATACACCGTCTCTTTTTTGAGTGGGGCTCCGAGGCGAAGCCGAGGAGATCTCCACTCAAAAAAGAGACGGTGTATCAACCCATACACCGAGAAAACAAGGTATATAACTGACTTATACTAAATACTTTTTCGAGAAATAGAGATTTTTTCTATTTTTCCCAATTTCAAAAGCATTTTTCATTTCACAAATTGATCAAAGTTTCCCATTTAGAGCCCCCCAATTATCTCATCGCAAACGCTTATTTCTACTCAGGTAAATGATGTCAGTACACCGCATGTGCATTTCCCGGTTTAAATCAGGTCAGGGAAAATGTTCATAACAGGGATATTGATTGGTTGAGAAAAGCAAACGTCATCCAATCATTTTGTACAATAGCCATTTCTTGTTGTTTTGTCAACATCCTGGCTGCGTCGATTGTAGTGGATGGCAGAAATGAATGCGGGAATTCGTCGAAGAATCCTACTTTATAATGTCACAGATATATATTTCTAAGACCGAGAATATCGGTTCTGCAAGAGATTTCAATGATCGCGAAGATTTAGAAGCCCGATCCTTCACAGAACAAGAAATTAAAGCCATGCAGATGAGTCGAATTCCGCCAAACACGAGGAAAAATACCAATTGCATAGGAATATGGTGACACTTCGAGATCAGTACAAAAAGTTGGATTTTAACTTTTTTGATAAGCAAGGTACATTTGCTAATTTCCGCACAGATCAATTCATTAACTTCGCGACATCCACTGACAGACAAAAACAAGAACAGCCATTAAATGAAGACGAGTTGGAATTGTAGAGTTCTCGAGTTTGTAGTGTTGAAAATGCCAATGGATTAATTTATACTAGTAACATATTAGGATTACGTGCTGCGGATGAGCATAAACCGCGACAAAATGTGAAAGTTTTTATTGTTGAAAATGCCAAGAGATTAATTTATAATAGTAAAATATTTGGATTATCTGCTGCGGATGAGCTTAAGCCGCGACAAAATGTGAAAGTGCGACAAAATGTGAAAGTGCGACTAGATATCAAAATGTAACGAAATGTGAGACAAAATGTAAGAATATTGTTGCAGACGTGAGCTAGTTCCCCCTTGTGCCAAAATGGACTAGCCCGTCTTTGACGTTTATTCAGTTTCTGCACCTGCGTGGTGGGTTTTATATAAAGGCCTGCGTTTGGTCCATATCCCCCCTACTTCGACTTGGATGATAGCTGAGTACAAGTGATCATCAACCTTTGTGGATAATTATTAACTTACCTGTTTGTGGAAGATAATCCAGTGGTTATTACGGAAAGATTTCTATTGTGCATATATTGAATTGTAAATTCCCAATAATAAGGATTGTTTGTAGTAAGTAGAAAGCTTTAGTTATCTATTTATACTAGGCTGAAATATATGTAAGCTTTGATATGTATTGCATGTTGCATGTAGCTTAGTAGATTAGTGGCTGTATGTAATCCTAGTAGTAATAACTTGCCCGTCAGTCTGTCTGATAGCACCCCTCAACCCATTAAGCCTTACACCCGGCCATCTCTGGTTTAAGTGGGTATCTTTCAAGGGCGATTAGACTTGGGAAATACTAGATATACCCTGATTTTACAATAAATGGCGCTGTCGCTTTTGAACTTTTGTGGGTAGGGTGTTAGTGGGAGTTAGTTTAAAATTCCCGTTTCCCCTGGATTGAGTGGATATAATTTACCTAATTGCCCATTGTAAATTATAAAAAGTAGTAGTGATTGTAATTTCGTATCTGATATATTCATTAGGGTAATTGTAGTTCATATTGCAATAAGGCAAACGCACATATTATATATTATATATTATCTAAATTGTTGACATAGTTACTCGAAAGCGCGGGAAAGTACTAGCCGTCACCTTGGTAAGGCATGCTTTTTGAGTGCTTGGGGTTAGCTCTAGCTATATCGATAGTATCAACCATATAGAAAACTCAACAAATAAGTTAGATGACCTCACTTTGGATTATAATATTTCTCTCACTTTTATTAATAATCTGCAGGGATATTAATTTGTACTTAGTGATATTTATTGGTCTAGGTTTACGTTAGGTGGAAAATATAATTAACTCAGGAATTTCCCGATAGGCATTTGGCCGGAAGTAAACAAACAAAATGGCCGACTTCTGAGAAAATAATCAAACTTTTGGGAAATGTTTGGATTAAGTTTAATTCTTGACTTGATTAAGTTGAATTATTTTCTTAGATTACTTTTATAGTAAAGCCCCTATATCTTAGGTTACTTGAAAGGGTTATTTGTTAGATTTTTGTTGCAAATAAAATTAGTTTACTGAAATCAACAATAATCATATCATGGCAGATAAATTAGATTTTGGTACCGAGTCTAAATGGCCTGTTAAATCGGAACCCTTTGATTATAGGGAAGCTTTTCTTGAGGAGGCA